TCCTTACTCACCTGCAGCCTTGTCCAAGACACAGTAGTCTGGGGAGTTGTCAAAGTAGACAAGGTCAGTCCGGGTGGCACGGCGATAGCCTTGGCGGGCTGCTGTGAAGTTAGCGCCATCCTGGGTAGCCGTCACCTGCACAGCCCCATCATAGCGCCGCCGTAGGTAATCACCTGTGCGGCGGAAGTCTGAGAGTGCACGCCAGCAGGTGCGCAGAGTACAGGAGCCACTCACGCCATGGCACTTACACTCCAGCTTCAGAAACCGCCGCACAGCCTGGGAGGTGGAGAGGCAGAGAAGGGAGAGGCAGCCAGTCAGGGCACTTTTCAGTCATCCCTAGGACTAAAATGTGAGTGCCCTGACGTCTGCTGGACCTGGTGCTGGCTAGCTAGTGGAGCCACAGGTTGTTCTCTCCCTCATCAGCTCCCCCTCGTTCTTCTCGATCAAATTCAAGGACCTCTTCTTCCAGAAAACCTTCTTGGACCAACAGTGCTTTCCTTTTTATGACAGGCCGTTTGAACTTCAGAGCCATAGGATTCTGTTCATGATTACACTATGCTGGTACATTCTCCAGTTTTCACGTTTTAGAGTTCAAGGTACCATGCCTTCTACTTTTGTAGCATGTCATTTTCCAGCACAGGACTGGGCACAGAGGAGGTGCCCAAATACCAGTGAACTGACTAGAACAGTCTTTATGGAGGCAGTTTTTTTCCTTCTCAAAAAATTATTTTCCTTCTTTTTCCCACCTTCCCCTGCTTTCCACCTATGTGAACACTGTTTTGCACCTGGCTGAACCTAAGCATTCCCAAGCTCCCTTGCATTTATTGCTCCTGTCCCAGGGGTTAGGGCCTTTGGAAGTGACCCAGAAGCCTTCACCACTTCCACCTTCACATTTAGTCCGAGATCACATATATGGGTCACCCCTGGAAAATATGAATGCACATGCACAGACATGGGTACTGACCGTGCGACCACAGCGGTTGTTATGTAAGTTCATGAGAGCTCGGGCATCCTTAAGCCTCTTCTCCTTGGCATCCACAAAGGCCTTGGCAAAGCGAACACCATAGTGGATATTATCACTGCAGCCACCCCAGTCAAAGTCCCCACGTTGGTCATGGTGTCGGCCACGGGTGTAGGGGTCACAGCTGCACACACTCAGTTCACCCTGGCTGCAGGCACGAGTAATAGCATGGACCACCCCTGCTGATGAGATGGCGTACACAAATGCTGCTTCCCGGCTACCTACAGAGAGAAAGGCAGAAGTGCGTTTCGGGAAAGAGGCCCACTTAGCCTCCAACCGTGAAATCTCTCCTCTTTTTCTTTCCCAGAGCAACCCCATGCACCCCCTTTATTCAAATTGCCTTTTCCTTCCAAGAGCATTCCCCAGAGTATTTGACCCCTTCCCCTAGCCCTCACTTCTCTCTATCCACTTCTTTGCACAGCTGACCTTTTGGGCTGACCTGTACTCTTGCCTCCTTCCAAACTCCCTGGGTCCATCCATTGAAAAGTTTCAGGGTGAATCATCTCCTCCCACTGAGTGCCACCTCTGACTCAGTTAAGCCTGCCTTAGTCCACATTACAGGCCTTTTCAGGCCCACTCTGCTGGACAGTTCCTCTACAATGGAGACCCCAGCCCAGAGGTCAGCCTGTTGGAGAAATAGGCTACTTCCTCCTTCCCTCCCTGCCACCACCAGCGCCTGCTTAGGGATTGATGAATCATCACTCCTGTCCCCCTGACACCTCTAGATTCTCATCTCATTCCCTTTCTCCTAGTTTATTGTCTAGCTCTGCTTAGCTTTTTTGCTGAGCTGGGGCCAAGCTGCTGACTCTCCAAATATTTACATATCACCTTTCTGTTTATCCCTTGCTCCCATTACTGTAGAGTTGGGAGTGTTGGCGTGAGGGTAGTGATGGTGGTGATAAGAACAGAGCAGGCATACCTAGTCCTCAGCCTGATGGCGCATGGAAACCCACAGGAAAGCGAGGAAGAAAGATGGAGGTGCTTGGGAATGTGGTTCCATTGTCCCATCATCCAGAACACTGAGACTTAGAGGGGCTCCTGGCTACATATCTAAGGTACGAAGGGTCTGTTCCCAACTGTCCTGGGCTCTGCCTACCCTGTTCCTCTTATTATGAGGTAGTGTGTAGGAGAAGGGAGAGGGGCTTACACCTACCCCACCCACTTACCACCCCACGCATAGAACGGAAGGAGCTAGGCAAGGTGGAAGAGGCCCATACTTCTGAGCATGACACGGCCAAACACAGTGTGGTCCCGGTCCACGGTGGTGCAGTTCCAACGGTGGTGGCGGAACTGGTGCTGACACTCTCGGATCCATTCTCGGGCACCCTCACCCACCGAGCGCATGATGTCTGGGTAACGCTGGCACAGCTGCCGCTGCCGGCTCACCAGACCAGGGATATTGTCACAGATCACTCGGGCCCCCAGTGCCCCGATGTACCTGCAAGGTGGAAATGGCCCTGTCAGAGCATCCCAGCCCTTTTTCTGCATTAGGAGAGGAATAGAAGGGGAAAGGTTTGGCATTTAGACCTTGGTATGGTCCCCTCCCCTTCCCCAACCCACATTCCCTGAGCCTGATGGGTAGAACCGTTTCCCACAAGTTCTGGAGAAATAGTTATGCAGTTGCAGAGAGAGTAATTGAGTGGTCTCCCACCATTAACAGTTCCCCAGCCAAAGGCCAAAGTGACACACACTACCAGAACACAGGCCAAGCATGTGTCACGTACACAAGAAGTGATGGGCATGTCACATAAACCCATTGCCTGTTTATGTAATAAACTTTAAGAGCCCCATGGAAAAATAAACTAACAAAACTGGAGTCTGAGACAACACTCTTACACCCACATGTAAGCGACACATCCTGCAAGGCTGGTCCATGAAGACATGGTTTGAGGGAAGAAGGATGGAGACAGGGAGGGGCCAGTGGGAAGAAACATAGTGGGCAATTCTGAGTAATGTTTATAGCCCTAGTCAGACTCATCTAACTAAAAATCCTCATTCCTAATGCTGAGGTCTGGGGAGGAAGACCCCACTCTCAACTCTCCTCCCCATACCCTTTATTTCTAGACCCTATGGCCTTTCTTAACTAATGAGTCTTGGGTCTTTCAAAATCCCCCCTTCCCCACAACCTATAGAGCAGGATGTCCTGCATGGACCTGCACGGACAAAGAGCTATTGTAGTGGGAAGCCAAAAGCCAAGATAAAGCAAGAGTGTGACGCTCACCATATTCCATCCCCAATTTGCCCAATATGAACAGTTATAAGATCATTTGGAGTGGGCTAGTAAAAGATAGGTGGGTTGTTAGAGTCATTCTTAAATTTCTCAAGGCAATTATCTTCTCTTCATCCAAACACTCTTAGCCCTGGACACCACCACAAGCCGGAGGAAGACCATTTTAGAGAGAAGACAGGAAGACATCATCATCTTTTCTCCCCACAAGGCCATCAAATGAGGTCTGGCCCTTTCACCCACTTCTCGCTCCCTTTTCTAACACCCAGCAGCACCTTCCTCGATTTGATGAGAATTCTCTATTTTTTTGTCCTAACATGTTAAAGGATGCCTTCTCTCCCCTTTCCTGAACAGGTGAGGGCCAAGGAAGGCAGTTGCTGCTACAGACAGAAAAGATTTGGTTTGGGCTGTGAATGAGCCTGTGGTTTGGTAAAGGCCCCCAAATGGGCCTAGAAGTGGGTGAGGAGAAGGGAGGGCGGCCAGTGGGTGAAGAAGAAAAGCCGAACTTCCCTGGGCTCTCCATGGACCTGCCCCCCAATTCACACACCCAGCCCTCACCCACAGACTGGATCACCACTGGTGATACCAGCTCAAACAAACACAAGGAGGGCTGATGCTTGCCTCTTCTGAAACTCAGCAAGGCTGATGGGGCCCATCTGTCCCCAGGGAGGGATGAGAAGGCTGACCCATCACTGAGAAATCCCATGGGATCAGCGTCCCCAGCACTGTCCATCAGGGCAACAGCTTCCAGGAACAAACAAAATAAACACCCCCGTCTGGGCCAGGCCGGAAAGGGCTGCCTGACGCACAGCCCAGAGTTACACCCACTGCCGCGGTGCTTTGTTTGGAGAATCAAGACCGTTGGAGTTGGAGCTCGTCCCTGTCTCACCACGTTCTGCTTCCTCAGATCAGCCTGGAGGACTGCCTTAGGCAATGGGTGTTTTTTTTTTTTTTACTGGGTCTTGGGAAGAGGGGGGTTGGATGGGCATGGGAGGCCAGTAATCTAGCCCTCATGAGACAGTCTGGAGTGAGGCAGGCCAAACTCTGGCTAAAAGTCCTTCCTGTGGTCTGACTTAAATCCATTCTGCTGCAGCCCACATTGGTCCTTCTTGTTACATCCTCACTGAGCGTGGGAACGTCTGTTCAGTATCTAAGATGGGAAGATAATTAAGTTTCTCCTATGACCACCCTGACTCCACTAAGTAGCTGCTTCAAGATTCTGCAGAGCAGGGCACTTGCCTGTTGACCAGTGGTCATCCCCTTGTGGGGACCTCCAACAAAACTGAGCCTAAGGGTTAGCCCGTCCCCCTCTCAATTCAACACATGCCTGCAAAATGTCTACCATGTGCAAGGACTCAGCTCAGCTCAGCTGTTAGGGGCAGAAAGATGTTTAAGGCATCCCCCAGCTCATGGGCTGGTAGAAGGGCCGATACCCCTGACTCTTTAGCTCTGTTAACCCTTCCAGAAGTTTTCACTTCCTTCCCAGCTACCTGCCCCAGAATGTTCTCTTCACCTGCTTTTGACCAATTCACATCCCTTCTTTTGACAGAATGACTCATACCCTACTCTATACTCTAAGCCCCTTGCTACTCAAAGTATACCCCAGAACAGCAGTATCTGCATCACCTGGGGATGTTAGAAGTGCAGAATGTTGGGCCCTATCGCAGGCTGAATCAGAATCTGCATTTTACCAGCATCCCTTGGTGATTTGGATGCACTACTCCATAAAGGCAGAGATTTTTGTCTGTTTTGTTCAGTATCCCCAGTATCTAGAACAGTGTCTGGCACACAGTAGGTACTTAACAATTTGTTGAATAAACACCTAACTGCTCCAGTTTACTTCCAACTCCCTTCTCCCCTCTGGTAGTCATAAACTTCATTTTAATTATAGCTTTACTCCTTGTGGACATGGCTAGCCATTGGCAGATGTTTTATGTTTGTGTCTTTTTAATGAGGCCAGGGATCCTCTTATTTTCTCCCTTTCTTTTACAGCCCCTAGTGTACATGGTTCAGCCCAGCCCAAATAGGGCTTTGAATACAAAGATAAAACTTAATTACCTTCCCTCAGTCTCGTAATACAACATCATTTATATGGTACTTTTACAGTTCACAAAACATTTTTCTACACAAAAATCCTATGAGAGAGAGAGAGCGAGAGAGAGAGAGAGCGAGAGAGAGAGAGAGAGAGGGGTCCATTTTACAGGTGAAGAAAATGAGGTTCGGGGAGAGTAAGTGGTAGTGCCCAGCTCTGTCCATCAGAGCTGGTCAGAAAGGAACCAGGTGAACCAAGGACATCTGATTCCAAAATCCAAGCTCATTTCCATTCCAAGAGCAAGAGAGGAGCACAGGGCTTAACCAAGAATACGCCCATCTGGCTCCCAAATCGATGTGAACTGGAGTTTCTTACCACTCTCCTCTCCCTCACTTTCTTCATGTGTGAAATGGGGAAACAGTATCTCCATCACTGGATTATTCCGTGGATTGAAGATGATGCTGATAAGGTATTTAGCCATAGTGTCTGGAGCTTAGTAAGGGCTTGTTAAATGTTGGTAACAGTGATGCTGGTGTCTGTTCCTTTCCCTTTGTGATTCCTTGAACAAGGTCCTGCTCTTGTGATTCCCTATATCCAGCCTCCTGCAGAATGCAAGATAGAATAGGGGAGCACATGCCAGGAGCCCCCTGTTTCTTGTTCTGCTGGTCATAGATTATGAAGAGACCATCATTTCCTCCTGCAATTAAAGGCAGGAGAGAGGAGTGGTGCTGGAGGGGTGGGGGCGGGCTGTGGGGAAGAGCAGACTGTTAGTTGGTGACAGTGATGACCTTCTGCTGCGGAGTGGAACATGGACACACACACAGTCAACAGCATCTCTTCCAGGAGTTGTACAGAATATCAATCTTGCCGGCTTTTTTCCTA